CTACTTATGGAACCAATACCTTACAGAGATATTCAATAGCAAGGGCCATGAGCCAGCCAACAGAGGGAGAATTTCTTTATGCTCCAAATGGAAAACAGTTTAACACAGGACTCACTGAAGGAATAATAATATGCCATTTTACATGATTGCAGGTTTATAGGATCAGTGTGTGATGGGTAACAGGTTGTAATGAGTATTGCTAAACTTAGTTTTAAGCTTCTGATGATTTCCATCCTATCTTTATGCCCTTTGAGTAATTGTTACAAGACTTAGAATGTATTAAGTGTTTGTGATTTACTTTCCTGGATTCACCACAAAAGGGATTAAAAAACATATACTGAGGAAAGATGAAGCTGCAAATACGAATGTGAAAAGAGGACATAAAAAGACAACATTAGCCTTTAATCTGAAGCAACACTCTCCTATGACCACAGCTTAAATAATAACCAACAGAGAGGCAACCGATTCTACATAAGGGCTCAGTCATACTTATAAAACAACATTTCAGACAAGGCAAAGTTAATTCATGCTGTGCTTTCAGGTACAAATAAATTTTTTAAAAACAATTCTTAACTTCGGGAGAACCACAGAGCTAAAAATGAACAAAGCTGTATTTGTTGTGTAAAACAATCTACAAGATGTCACTAAATCACCAAGCTCCCAATCGTGCCTTTTCGTAAGGAAGTGTTAATGAATTCGGCTGTGCTACTTTCTGGAGTGACTGGACAACAATGCATAATCAACAAGATGACACCCAGTATTCCCAACTTTTCTCTCAGAAAGTGATAGTGGTCTGATCTCTCTTTGGACTGCTGTTCTGGAGACAAAAAACAATGCTGGATAGCAGACAGCAGAACCTACATCAACAGAAATATCAGGACTGTTCCCAGAGTGAAGACGAACCACAGCCAGCTGCTGACAGATGCTCAAACCACATCAAGTTTGATTTGGTTTGCATTGAACACACAATCACAGGCTTAGTGGCTCACATGTCAGATCCAACTCAAGTGTTTTAAGGGTGTCAAATTTATACACCATTGTTAGTCGCTCTGCCATAAGTTAGTGATTTGTATGAGCTCAGGCCTAACAGCTATAATATACCAACTTTGATGTCCAGGTTATAGACTGTAGTCACACAAACAGGACATTTAAACAGCACACACCTCCCTCTGCAAACACAAAGCCCTGTGGTATGACCGGTGTATTTACTGTACAAAGTGTTAACTGCTATGGAAAGTATGACTGATGCAACTTCCTCACAGTGTTCCTGCTATCAGAAGTTGGACAAACTTGCTTCCTCATGCTGAACCCCTGCTCTACGTCAATTTGCTCCGATATGGTGTTGAGACGGCACAATAATCTACTTATTTCCACATTCTTTGTCTTACTGCTCACAGTGGTGTCAAAGTCTGCTCTGAACGGGAGCGGTACCCACCGGGCACACTGAATCAGTGCTTCACCAGACATTATAGCAGACAGACAAGCATTTAGTATCAGAGTTAGAAGTCTTGATAGGCACACCTCAGCTGTACTCTAACATCATACAAAGGAATTAGGCTACTCCGGGGTGGTCTTCAATGCTGTGATATATTTGTCAGCAAGGCGGCTGCTAAAACAATGTCAGTACGCAAAAATATCCCAATGTTTGAACAGAAGAGGAAGACAGATGTCGCTGTATGTCTGAGTGCGGTTTATGTTGAAACCTGAGCATAAAAATTGCCTCAACGCAGGAGTTCACTAAGCAGAAGCCACACAGAACTTAATCCTACTTAAGCACAAAATGAAAACACAGCTTCCTGTCTCAACTGTCCAAGGCACTGTTACCTAGCAGAAATAGAAGTTGGCTAGCAAGTACATATCAATAAAAATTACCTTTAAATGCCCTACACACACACACACCAGGTGTTTTTGGTTATTCTGGTTGATTAGACTTGATGTCAGGTGAAGCTATGACTGGAATTCAACAGGTCAACAATCAGCATGCACCAATTAGAGTGACAAAGGCCCTAACAGACGCAACAAACCTGACGAGAAAGTTGTTCCTACAGTCTGATGTTTGAGCTTCACTGTGCAGAATGATATATGTTCAGATTTTGACACTGGAACATTCATCTACTGAAAGTGGAAAGTTTCTCTGAGCTCATTAGGAATATAATTTTAAGGGGCGGGGCCTATGAGCATGACTTGTGACAACAAATTGTTTAAAGAAGAAGTCACCCTGGTCCAGTATGCAAGTGTGATGTAGAAACTTGAAGCCACAAATGCACATACACTGACAATGGACTCATAACATCTTGTGTCCAGCAGGAAGATTTGCATATTCATAGATTCTTGAATTTTTAATGAGGTAGAGGGAGTAGATGCTTTTTAAGCATGTGCAAATTATAATTTTTTTGCAAAAAAACATCCAAGCAGACTATTTGTATAAATGTCTGAAGGGAATCTTTAATTTATGCAATTATGGTGTTAAAATTTGAGAAATTTCATACTGGATGTCTGAGCTGAGCTGGGTTTCTGTACCAGCAGCCATAAAACATAATAACCTAATGTTGCTGCTGAATAGAAATATGAGTCTGAACGGAAACAACAATGTTATTCCAATGACAACATGCTAACTGCTACAGTGATAGCATCCAGTACTTTCAAAAAAGTTGTTGGCAGCATCTTCAAGCATTACAGCTATCTTCAAGCATCCCTGGAGAACTTTAGGAGAAACCACAAGTGCGTAACATTTCTCATTTTTGACCATGTGAAAATCCAGACAGACAGATAATCTATTTTACCTCCCTACACAAACATGTTTTAACTTTCCTTTAATCCTGACCCCAAATGGGTACAGCTGACTGAATTGTAGCCCTGAAAATAGACCCACTGTTATTGGACTATATTTTACTGACAATTCATCAACAGCCAACAACATGCTGACCTCAGGCTCTGGTCTTGGCCGATCTCCTGGTGAGCCAGTCTGGAGACAGGAAGGCTCAGTGTAGTAGCCGTCAGTGTAATTTGGTTCTGATAACGACCTCCTTATCACTGCAGCAGACAGCTTACTCCTTAGCCTGCCACTTCAGAGATAACACCATCAATCAAATCTGAACGAGTTCCTCCCGTTCCCACATTTCTTTCCCTACTTCCAGCACCAGAACTGTTATTCTTCTTTCCAAGTCCAAAGTCTGACAAACCTCAGCTGGCCATTTCAGCGGATGGGTGGAATAGAAGCTTATGTGGCGGGTACAAGCTTCACTGTTCTTGTCCATCACTATGTTGTTGTTCATCAGAGCAAAGCAGACATTGAACCACTGCTTTAATTAAAGGTTTAAAATGTTTACTATTATACTACAATCTTGTGAAAATAGATTTGAGGGCTTCTCTGTGTCACTGGTCTTAGTGCTTTTGGATCTATAGCTTCATGTCATGAGCTGGTGCATGATGAAAAATCAAGCCATTTGATGATCAATTTTCATTTACTATAGAGGTTCATTTGAGAAAATAGAGAGTGACGGCTTCATTTCATAATGGAGGATCATGTGGGAGGTTGGACCGAGGACTGTGGAGTACTGTACCAAGCAGAGTTTAAATACTTTTCACAGCCTGGGGAAAGTGATTGATTATATGGAGTGTGACTGTGATGGCGCATTCTTTTAGGGGCCAAGCAAACATTTAACTCTGACTCATATTTCACCACACATACTTCCATAAACCACCTAGGTATGTGTACCAATCTCAGAATTATTTTGTACAAAGAATAATATATATCAACAAGCTGTCCAATTTTGCTTAGCAACAACAGAATATTTAGCGAGATCCAAGAAGGGAATATTAGCCTCCTTTGTTCCTACTTTTTGACTCAACACTCAACAATCTTTTGTTTTGTATATAATGTATTAACTGTGCACTGTATGCTGTATGTGTGTGAGGGTGCATGCATAGAGAAGCAACTGGGAGCTAATCTTTTCAAGCATGCAGCAGCTTGCTACTACTGCCTTCCAATCTGAGCCTTCTGTGAGCTATCTTCAAGCAACACACACTACTGCTATGAAATGATGCAGCTTTACACCCACTACTGCTAAAATACTTCACTTTATAGTGTAAGTGTGTGTGTGTGTGTGTGTGTGTGTGTGTGTGTGTGTGTTGCCTGTTGCCCTAGCAAGCCACCTGGCTCTGGTCTATTCAGCGTCTATTTTCGTTGGGATGGAAACATGCAAACATAATCACATGACAGTTTGAAGATATAATGAAGCTCCGAATGTAAATTTATATATTATACGTGTGTACAAATGTGAGGAGTTCACATACACAAGTACACATACATTAAGATGCAAATGCTTGTTTTGTTAAGAAATTTAAAGAGGTTACAGACACATGGAAGTGCTTGGTTGTCTTTCGCTGAGCGTGAAGTTGCTGCTGAGTGCAGTTCATAGGCACTTTGAAATGGAAATCTTACTGAGGCGGAGTGAGCTCGGGGCAGTGGAGAGATGTTGAGCGTGAGACTGATGATACAATCTCCTCTGGCAGGTTCCCTCATGCTTACTGTCAGACAAATCTCACTCAGCACTTTGCCCCCCTGTCTAACTCCCAATATCTACACACAGGTGCAAATGCATATACACATACAGATCTGTACTGACTGAATACAGACACTCAACAAAATTGCACAAGCAAAAAGTGTGGACAATCTCACACAAATAATGGCAACAGACCAGAACAGAACGACTAACTTCTAACCTGTTTAAACAGCTTCTATAACTCCAGGGCATATTAATCAGTTCTCATCAGTCTGTGCTCTGTTGGTGCGCATCTTAGTCAGTACCCATTAGTCAGGACTTGTTGTGTCAGAGATGTACTCAGACATGACATGACAGAAGATTAGCTCATATCTATTGTATTTAGCAAATGTATGTCTTTGCTTGGTACATCAACCGGCAAAGACAGACAGACAGACACGCAGACAAAGAGGCATAAGTGATGCTGAGGCAAACTACAATACAACAGAAGCAGACCTGACTCCGTTTCCTCCTGTCTCCCCGCCTGGTTCCCCATGTTGGACCGCTCCGCGACTCCCACTCTCCACACCGGGGCGGACTAATCCAAGAATCCGTGGCTGCGGGGGAGATGTGTGTGTGTGTGTGTGTGTGTGTGTGTGTGTGTGTGTGTGTGTGTGTGTGTGTGTGTGTGTGTGTGTGTGTGTGTGTGTGAGTGAGTGTCGGGATTGTCCTCTGTTCAGCACCCACAACCAGAGCCGGTCAGTCACACAGATAGGAAACCATAAGATACATAAATTTCTTCTTATTCTTCTCTCCTGGTCTGCTTTTCTATTCTCCACTCCTTCCCAGGACTGTGTGGAGTGTGTGTGTGTGTGTGTGCGCATGTATGAGGAGTCAGGCTGCGTGTCCTGTCAGTGAATGACTGCGAGTGTGTGTGAATGTGTGCGAGTCCTCCTGAATGGTGACAGTATGTCACACTGGCAGGCGGGCGGGCAGGCAGCGTTGTGTGCACTTCATTATTGCTGTGATGACTGGAATCAGCTCAGAGGAGGAGTGGCTTCCCGCGCCACACACACACACACACACACACACACATACACAATAACACACCTCCTCCCACCATAGCCAGCCAGTTTACTCTCACCAATACCAGTTGAACAATGATAAGATGAACCATCCCTCTCACTGGTACTGAAAAGAGGAGTGAGTAAAGAGGGAGAGAGAGAGAGAGAGAGAGAGCAAGAGAGAGAGAGAGAGAGAGAGAGAGCAAGAGCGAGAGAGAGAGAGAGAGAGAGAGAGAGAGAGAGAGGGTGGAGGGAAGTAGGAAGGAAAGAGAAGCAGGAGCAAAGGAAAGGCACCATTTGTATTTTTGGCAGACAGCGACTGTGCAGCTCTTGTCTTTTCTTGCTAAGGGAACTTGCAGTCTGGGACCTCACACACAGTCTGCCCCCCCCCTTACAAAATCACAACTGCAATTTCCCAACAAATGTCTTCATAAATGGAGAATGGAGATGCTGGTCTAGGGGATAAGAGGGCACCCCAAGCTTGCCGTACTGATCTCTCTACAGTGGACCCAGCAGGGAACAATAGCATGTGTGTGTATGTGAGTGCGCCTACATAAGATCGGGGGTGGTGTGCTAGTTTGGTGGGGTTGTGTGGAGCTAGTGAGAGGAAGGCTTGTTTTTTCTGTCCTTTCTCATTCACAATGTATGTACGTGTTAAATATTTATGGTGGCAGGAGCTGGAAGGGAGAATGACTTGTCATTTTCAGTTGTACTTGTCTCTTTTTTTAGGTGCAATCTTCAACAATGTGTTTTTTGAATGTATGTACAACTATCAGGAAAATCACTATGAACCCCTCTTGGAAGCTTGGACACAACACAAAGTCAGAAACTGTTCTTCTACAAATTACTGTCATTATTTAATTTAAAGAAGATAATTATAATTTATTTACAGGCCACAAATATCTCTATAGCACAGTTATGCTCAGTTACAAGTGAGTACAGGGATTAAAATACACACACAAACAAATGTTTATATATTTGTGCCCTTCTGAAGAGACAGCCGTAGTGTTTCATCCGACATCAGTTTACAGTAATACAATGAGACTGAACTATGTCATGTTATCTGAGTGTCTATGACACAGTATGCTGTGCTGTGCTGGTCAAAAAAGAAACCTCAATTAGCAAAGGGCACAAGTCTGTATGAACTACTATTTATCAGAAATTAAAATTCGTGTTCACTGCATCATCAATTTTTTAAAGCCATCCTTGACACAGATAAGCAGCGATATTTTTAGTAGGATGAGCATTTCTGTTGCGTAAGCTCAGAGCTACCAGCTTAATTCCTTCATGTTCACTGCTGAAAAGAACCAAGGCAATAAAAATGAATTAGCAGAATAATGAAAAATTGACAGTTACAGTTCTAGCTGCATTTTTGCTCAATGTGTATCTGATGCACAAAATACTCGAAGCTCCAGCCAGAAAAGCATTTCAAAACATTCTCCAATAGCTGTAAGGAAGGTCTAGTTCACTGCATGATTCTGCCCACGTCAGGTTGAATATTCAACTCTTTGATATGATACTGTACATGGCTGCTTCCAAGCCTTTTCATATCTTATGAATGTTGCATAAATTGTTGGTACATTTTCCTTTCCCTTCTCAATATTCTCCTCTCTCCTCGTCTTGGAGCAGCACATCTACCTTGGTAAACAAACATGCCTCTAATCCAGCTAAGAATGTTCTCCTCACCGCAGGATGTCCATCTCTGTGAGCCCAACAGGCCTCTTTTAAGATCTGGCAAGACCATTTCTCTCGGTCTTGCATCTTTAGGGGACTTGCTGGGGTCACAGGCTTCTCAAGAGAGGAATTTCAAACTCAATGCAAAAACTCTGGTCAACAAACCTAAAAGGGGCCAGGTGTGTTTATGTCTCAGTTGATGCCAGATGGGTAGATACAGTACTAATTCTGGCCTTTGAAGCAAAACCCTTCAGATGCACTGTAGTGAGTAGGAGTAAAGCTATTCCCGCTTGCCATGCTCCTTTGTACAGTGCATGCATAATAAACGGAGGAGTACATTATGGTACTGTATAAACTGTAGTGTATACTTAGACTTGGACAGGGCTGTATGGGGGACGTAAAAAGTAAAGGTATGGGTCATTTTGCATAGATATTTATGTGCGTCCATCTGCATGTACAGGTCTTTCTAATGCTTGTGGCAGTTTGTGTCCGTCATGGCTGAGTGCATGTGCAGGCTGAGGCGTCCCAGTGGACTGAGGCAGGTTTGATTAATTCATCTGACAGATATGAGGAGCTCAAGGACTATGCCGCTCTCTCCTCCTGCCTCCCAAACACTGACACACACACAGACAGACAGGGCCCTGCTGGGACCACATGTTACTGGTGTCTGGAGTCTGGTGTCTGAGTTGTGCATAGTAAAACGCACAGACACTCCATAATATTCCTATTGCAACCCCAGTCTCTTTGCTCAGCTTATCCTTCACTGCGACTGTTAACTACGGTCAACTGACACTAGCATCATACATCCATCTTTCTTCTCTTCTGGCAGTGAATTGGTACTGTGAGGAAATTATATGAGCTACGAGCCGATTAATTGGGAATAAAGTCATAGTCCATCTGGTGTGGCCAGCAAACCTCACATATGGCGAAGAATCGGAGAGAAACCTCATCACCATCGCTTGCTGACAACAGACCTTTCACACAGCACAGGCTGGAGGTTAATGAAAAGAACGTCCTGTGTTTGGTTGATGGATAGTTGGGGAATGACACAGCAAAAAATACACTTGGCCTTCTGTAAAACCTCGGCCTGCAGTATCTTGCATTCAATCAGAGGAGAAAAATCACGTACAAGATGAATGAAACGGCTTGTAGTCAGCCGCATGTAACAACAATCGTTGACCAGCAACATGAACAATAGTGTTAGTAGATGAGACTGATGATACATTATCTCTGTATATGAGATAGCATGTATCAAACAGAATATCCCTCACCGGTGGGGACAGAAAAGTTGCCATGCTGTGGCATGAAAGAGCTTGTTGGTAAACTTAAAATGAATCCTGATCAGTCATTCTGTCATCGGATATATTTCAAAACCATTTATTTGTATAACAAATATATTTATAACAACTATTTCCTTTATAAAATCTAAATATCATACTCCCATAACAGTCACTGTTTTCCATTGTGAAGCCACTTCTGCTGACATTTCAAATCTACCATCTGAGATATAACGACTGAATCAACAAGTAGCACTAAACATCATACACGCGACCCTTAAAGGACAGCTCCATCGATTTTACACATCAAAGTCTGTTTACAGGTCTTATGGAGGCCTACTGTATATGTGAAAACAGTTGTATAAAGTCTTTTGTGGCTCCAGGGGGAGCTGCGCGAAGACTGATAAATGTCCTCAAATGATGCCACTTGACTCAGTTACGGTTTGGGCTGAAGACTACAGGTTTGGTGTGGAGTTAGAAAGAAGTTAGCTTACTCGGCTCAAGGCTATATTAGTTGCTACTAGCACAACACACCTGAATCTTCATCATGGGTGTAACAATATTATAGTAACGCAATGCTAAATCTGTGGAGTACTCTACAACTATCTGTGACTTGAAAATAGGGCTGCAAAATTCTACAGAGGGTGAAGTATCAGTAGAGCTGGATTATAAGGCTGAAACAGTCCAATTTCACCACCAGCTGTGACGGAGTGCTAGAAAATAAAATTGTACTTCAGTGAATGAGACAAGGAAAAGACTCACTGAAAGACATTTATGTTAAGCTCAACTCTACTCACCCAAACATTAACGATCGATATGAAAACATGGACCAAACAGGGGTGAAGGAAAGCGCCTGTCAATGAAGTGCCCATTTGTAAAGTTATGCCCTGCAGTCACCTCCATCAGGCTTGTTATTTATAGAGCAGGACAGTCTTATCTCCTTCTGTCTCTTCTCCTTGCACACTCCGCAGGGACTCCTCTTCTAGTGAAAGCTTTACTGAATTATTGATGAGATGTTTTAAATAAGTCATCAGGATGGAGCTAGGTTTTAACCCGTTGTCTGACAGCACGGTAGAGTTGGTTAAGTGCCAAGTGGGATAGGGACAGAGGCCATTAGTAAAAATAACAGTTTCGACTCATTAGTACAGCATGCTGTGAGGGCAGGCAAGGGTGGGGTCAGTCTGTCAGTCAGCTGACCTTTTTAGCCAATATTGTGTGTGTGTGTGTGTGTGTGTGTGTGTGTGTGTGTGTGTGTGTGTGTGTGTGTGAGAGTGAGAGTGAGAGTGAGAGTGTGTGTGGGTGTGGGTGTGCGTGCGTGCGTGCGTGCGTGTGTGTCCCTTGGACTTGTTTTGAAGTCTTAGACAGTCAAAAGCCTGGTAGTGTGAAAATATTATCAAATATTGCCATAAGAATGGAGGTTTCTACCTATGTGGGTAATCTTGCTTGGGAAAGGGAGTAGACCACTTCTGATAGTTCTGATAAAAGTTGAGAAAATAAATGATGCATCTCACCACTGCAGTTCTCATTCCTACATTTAAATCAGCATTGACTTTCCAAATGGGATGTGGGTACAGTTTCAGTTCAAAGCACACTGTATTTGTTGTTAGTTGGTACAGAAATGGGGTACATCATTTCTGTAGTGGACAAATTATTGATTATTAATCTTTTTGACACCACACAACTTTAAATTCATCAAGTTTTCTATGCTCAGTAAGTAGTATTCTGTCAGGCATCCACAATCTAGTCACAAAATGTGCTTGGACGGCCTCTAAGAAAATACTCAATTACTGCCTGACGGGTATGATGACAGTCCTGCTGCAGAGTGCCTTAGTGCCCAGAGAGCCCTGATTGCTTCATGTTGGTGTGTAATGTCACATATCAACTAGGGAAAAGCTTGTCTGTTTATGACCAACCTGACTCACTCATGGTGACAATATCACTAAGACAAGCCTGAAGACACATCTAAGTATTCCTGTGTTTTTTGCTTAAATGTCATAAAGCAAACTCAGAATTTTTTAATCTTCCCTTCACCCAAAAACAGGTTTGTACTTCAGAGACTCTCCTTCC